TTTTTTTTTTTTTGGCCGGGGCTGGGTTTGAACCCGCAACCTCTGGCATATAGGGCCGGTGCCCAACTCCTTTGAGCCACAGGTGCTACCCGAGATCATTATTATTATTATTATTATCATTTCTTACATCTGAAAGAAATACTTTGCTGAAGAAAATTTAGGAACACCTCACTTGGTATGGAAGCATTACAAGAGATTCTTGAAAAATCAAAGATAGGTAGATTGGAAGTAAGTCAATGTTCCTTCCCACGTCTTAGACTCCAGGTGTCTTTGGACATGGTGAAACTGTGAACACCTGAATTCTGACAGGGGCACGGAAGTCAACATGCGTAAAATACAGCAGAGACCTGCTAACCCTTGTCCATTCACTCGGGACTTTACACTCAACATCTAAGACACTTCCAGATGTGCAGTACACTTTCTTGAGCATTTGTTGACTGAATGAATAAAAGATTATTAATATATTTAAATTTCTAAGGCTGCAATTGTTTTTATTATATTAAATTTCATGACAATTTACTGAGATTCTATAGGTGCTCTACATAGAGTTTTCTTAATTTTTTTAATTTTCGTAGTTGAAAACTCATTGTGGGAAAACTTCTACTTTCTATTTTCTCCTCCCTTTTGTTAATCACAACAAGATGACACTGGACATTGTCAATCCTTTGTGCATAACTATTGTATTTTCCCCCTTTGGCTTGTGTGATTCATTTTTTCATTAATGCTTCCTTCCTACAATGTAAATATTCTTGCTTAGTAATCATTACAGAAAGGAGAGGAGTTGGGGAGGAGAAAACAGTCTTTTGTTCAAATGACCAAATTCTTAATACCACCTCAGGTCAACAGGAGGATGACATGTGTTAAAGAATTATATAATTGAAAGAAATGGAGAAAGGGCATTAAAAGAAAAGGCTCCATAATAAATGTACTGCCAGGTTTCATAGAAAGAAATAGCTGGGTCCTTATGACAAGAAAACATAGTGGAACCTATTGTTAAAATATGGTGACAAGTGCTTCCAATATGTTCAA